GACAATTACAGAATGCACCCTGGCCCAGGATACAGGACCCTGTCACACTATGCAAGAAGAACATGGACGCTAAAACTGGTAGGCATCTGTGATGCTTCAAATGAAAATGTTTCCTGTAGGCTTCGAACACTTGGCCCCAGTTGGGAGGGCTTTTTGAGGAGGTGATGGGACCTTCCGGTTGTCTGAGAGTTCCTATTGCTATGATAAACACCTTGACCATAAGCAGCTTGAGGAAGAGAGAGCTCATTTTGCATATACTTCTGCATCCATCATGAAGGTACCTCACGGCAGGCACTCAAGGCAGGAGCCTGGAGGCAGGAGTGATGGAGAGGCCATGCAAGATCACTGCTTACTGGCTTGATCCTCATGGCTTGATAAGCTTGCTTTCTTATATAACTTGGAACCATATGTCCAGGGGTAGCACTGACCTTCTGTGGGTTGAGCCCACCCACATCTATCATTACTCAAGACAACACTCCACAGATTTGCCTACAGGTCCATCTTCTGGAGGCATTTTCTCACTTATGGATTCCTTTTTGTCAAGGAGGCAGAAAACTAGCCAGCACAGAGGTGGACCCTTGCTGGAGGAGGGCAGCCCGGGGGCACATATAACCTTGGTCTATTTCCTGTTCTTTCTCTCTGCCTCCCTGTCTGTATGAAAATGTGATCGGCCAGCTGTACATGTAGTCATGCCTTCAACTCCTGTGGACTCTGACCCCCTGAAACTACACACCAAAATAAATCCTTTCTTCCTTAAGGTTGTCATGCTTTTGGTCATGGTGTTTTATCATAGCAACAGAAAATTCACTAGTCCACCATCTGTGGGAAAGTAGTCTCCCACAGTCCAACTAATTATTCTTTTCTGAAGGGGGCTGCTCACACTGGGGTATGTTGTTTTCAAACCCTCCTGGTGTCTTTGCATATATTCAGAACAGAATGCTATTTGGGACTTTCATGGAAAAGGGCACACATTTAGTTTTTACATAAGTGACATCATCACTAAGTTTGATGGCTAGTCAGCAAGGCTCTCATTATGGAATGGTTGCACTGTGGTTTATTTGACTATTTCTTTTCTTTTTCTTTCTTTCTTTTTTTTTTTTTTTTTTTTTTGATGGCTCTCTGAATGTTTCCTATTCTTTTTTTTTTTCTCTATCGATAGCAACAGCTGAGATCAGTATTTCCCTGTGCACTGTTTTACATAATGCAATTTGATTCTTTCCTAGAAAGGAGATGATGGTAGCGTGTGCAGTATGGAGCATGCCCACTGACATGATGGTAGCATGTACAATGTGGAGCATGCCCACTGACATGATGGTAGCGTGTGTAGTGAGGAGCATGCCTACTGACATGTTGGTAGCATGTACAGTGTGGAATATGCCCTCTGACATGTTGGTTCCATGTACAGTGTAGAGCGTGCCCACTGACATGATGGTAGCATGTGCAGTGCAGAGCATGCCCACTGACACCCGTGGGTAGAGTTGAACTTTTTATGAATTGTTAAGATTTTGTGTTAACATAGGGTATGACTGTTCCCTCGTCTGCACCAGCACTTGCTGACTTCAGTCTTTCTCACTTCTGCCTGTCTTCTGTCTTATGAGCAGAGGCTGATACAGTAGAGATGTGAGCTTTGAAGTGGCTAATGATGGCTAGGTGGAATGGCTTCTCACACATCTATTAGCTTTCTGTTTCATTCTGGGGGGGGGGGAATGCCTGTTCATTCCCTTTACTCATTTGTTTCATTTTGAAACTTTGTTGTTTGCTTTTTTTTTTCTGAGATAGGATCCCAGGTTAGTCTTCAACTTCTGATTTTACCAACTCTAACTCTCAAATGCTGGGACTCTAGGTAGACACCACCTACCACTATGAACAGTAAGAGATTTGTTAGACACGGATGTGATGACAGACACTCTTTTTTTATATTTATTTTTTTATTTTATTTAATTTTATATAACAAAGTCCAATTAAATGAAAACAAACATTTATACACAATATTTGGGAATTTGGGCGTCGTTCTTTCCAAGCTACTTCCTGCTGGTAAGGGGCGCTGTCTTGGGGGGATTCGAAGAAGATTCAGATATCCTGGCTGTAGTCTGTAGGGCTGTTTTGTCCAGCTGTTTTGAATGTAGGATTAGCTTGTACTCTGTTTCAGGTGGTCTGGCGTGATCAAACCTCATTAGTCTGGAAGGAATCAACATCTTTTCATTTTCTGTGGAAACAAAAATAGAAATCCTTTTCCCCAGTAACTTGTCCTTCAACTTAAATTTTGGAGTCAAAGCATTTTTTAAATTTAATTTATTGTTTTACATGTTGATCCCAGTTCCCTCTCCCTCCCTCCCTCCCCCCAACCCTCCCTCCCTCCCTCCTTCTCTCCCTTTTACCCTCTCTGCCCTCTCACATGCACTCTAACCATCCTCCCCTCCCATCCCCCACCCCAATTCCACATGTAGGGGAATGCCATCCAGTTGGGGTCATGTAGATCTGACAGGTCCTGTGAAGTAGGGACTAGGGCTTCTCTCCTGTCTCTAGATTAAGGCAGTTATCCCTCCATGGGGGATGTGTTCGCAAAGTCCTTTTGTGCACCAGGGATACATCCTGGCTCCACTGGACAGACACTCTTAAAGGGTCATGGAGATGGCTCAGTGGATAAAGGCAGGCGACTGCTACCAAGCCTGGAAACCTGAGTCTAATCCCTGAGGCCACCAGGTAGAAGGAGAAAACTGATTTCTGTAAGTTGTCCTCTGACCTCCACACACGTGCCATGGCACATGTCTTCCTCTTTCCCTGTTCCCCACTTGAAACAAAAAATAAATAAACAAAATGCAACAAAAAATCTAAAATAAAAAAGACCCATGGTGCTCAAATGGACAGATACCACTTAGTAAAGTCACACCAAAATTGCACATAAATTGTTTTTCTCTCTACACACTTATTATTAAGACATAGCCTCTGAGCTGTTTGAAGAATATTCAAGTTGTTTCACATGAGGTGAGACCCAAGTTCACCTTTTTATAGCACTTAATATAAATTTTCAGGATCATTTACTGGCTAAGTACTGTTTCCCACCAGACGGTTGCTTATTTGCATTACTTACTTAAATGTTCTAACTTTCCTCTACCCTATTCAAATGTTCTGCTGGTACCCTTTGTTTCTTATAAGCCATGCCTTTGTGCTTACATGGACAGAAAGGGCACACAGCTTCCTCTTCCCACTATGAACTTGCTGCAGGAGTGAATTCCTGGTTCAGTAGCAGTTTGCTAGGAAGATGCTGGATGTGTGGGTAACGTTAGGGTTGCTTTGGTATTATTGGGGTTCTCATAAATCCATCACCTTTTATAACTGCTGAGAATTTAGAATTCAAAGGACTATGAATGTGCATGCTGCAGGAAGTGCATGCTCCTGAGGAGGGGGGCCTTAAATACCCTCCAGGGGATGAACTGATGCTCAGTGGGTTTTCCAAAGGGTGGGGGTCGGGAAAGAGAGAGATGGACCTGAGGTGAGGCTTCCAGCTTAACAGTATATGGCTTTACTTAAGCAATGTCCTACGCATTCACAAGTGCTGTAGAAGTACTTGCCAAATTAGTGACTAAACAACAAATACTTGGGCTGACTAAGCCATGACCTACCTTCTGTAGCTGTCTGCTCTCTGCACCCCAAAAGCCTTGAAGCTCCCAGACACACTGGTTCCTCTCACATAGAGACTCAGAGAATCACCTTCCCCTCCACTTAGGCAATCAGCCTAGCACAAGTCCTGCCTGCCGCCCCCTCTCTCCTCCAGCCCATCCTAGCATTTGCTCAGATTAAAACATGAACTTTAATTTTGCTCAGTTGGCTTATTGCATCAGCAAGTTATACACTACTCGATCGGGGGGATATTTTTATCAATGATGAGAAAGATGAAGGACATCTCAACTCAGGGTTTGCATTTGAAGAGGGACTAGATCTGGCAGTAATCCCACCACTCAGGACACTCAGGTGGGATGTTGGGTAGTTTGAGGCCAATGTGGGCTCATTCATGGTTGACTTCAGCTATATGGGGGTGCAGGGAGATCCTGTTTCCAACAACAGGAAAGATAGTTGTGTGTGTAGATGTATGGTTAATGTCATCAAGAAAAACAAAGATCTTAGGATCATGGGACAGACAAGGACTGACAAGGTTAAGAACCTGAGCCCAGGAGAGGAGGCTTCTAGCCTGTGTGGGCAGATGAGAGGAAGTGAAGCTGCAGGAAGTGGGCAAGGCTCGCAGAAAGGGACAGCGTGGCACAGGGTGCTGAGCAGCCTAAACTGGCCAGGTGGATGCTTTAGGGCCAAGCATTCTGATAAACTGTTTCCATGATGTGAAGTTAGGCCGTGTTGATGTTAGGTGATGGCTGTCCACTGTGTGCATATCCATGATTCAGTTCATAAGGGTGTAAGATCATGTGTATGGATATGTGTGGCTGACAGTATGTGCCTCATATGCTTGTGTGTATGTCGGTGTGAATACTGTAAACGTATACCAATGTGCCTTGTCTGTGTGTTTATGTGTACTTTAACATGTGCATCTAAGTGACCATGTATGCAATACATTATGTATGTATACTTGCATACATCTGTGTAAGTACCTATGTGTTTGAATATCCTTCATTTTATGTGTGTATGTTTTACCTGCATATACCTTACCTCTGCACTTCATGAAGAAGGCATCAGATTTCCTGGGGCTGGAATTACAGATGGTGCCATATGGGTGTTGGGAATGAAATCTGTGTGCTCTAGCTGTATAGCCAGTGCTGCTAATCTCTGAGCCACCTTCCCAGTTCCTGTGCCTGAGTCCTTATGTTTGTACACATGCTTGTGATCATGTGCCTGTGTTTGTGTTCCTGCGAACACACCAGGCAAAGATCACAGAGGAAAACGAGCTCATACTGGGGCCCTTTCCTGATAAGCTGGCAGGGACTTTAGCCTTGCCAATGGTCACAGAACAGACCCGTGTCACTGATGACATCACAGAATAAAGCCAGGATCCTAGTGACCATGTGGCCACTCAGGCTGGGGCCGGCTGGAGGGCTTCAGCACAGCCCACACCAGCCCTCACTGAGATTCTGGGTACTGGTTTGAAGTCATGAAACGCCATCTCATGGAGCCGAGGGGAGAACAGAAACCAATCAATGGGAACACTATCAACATGAACAGCCCAGAGTCCATGGAGGAGAGCACAGGAATGTGCTGGCCAGGTGGTCAATAAATGGGGAAGGGGCAGGTTTGTCTCTGATGCTGTTATCAAAGGGGTGTGCTGATCATACAAAGCAGATGGGGGAAGGGCCTTGAAGAAAGTGATCTTCAGGGGAAGCTGGTACTTCCTAGGCTGTTGTGCCTCTATGGGGGTTATTTCAGGAGATATGTCAATGAGAATGTAACTGTTCACCTTTAAGTACTGATTTTAATGTGTTTGAAAGAATTGTCAACCCTATAAGTCCTATGGTAATATAAACCTTCCTTTGTAGTACATGGATGCAAGCTAACATAGAATGGTCACCAGGATGAGTCTATGGGTAGCACTTTGGGATGAGATCTGCTCTTGCATCCAAGTGGCTCTACCAGACAGGCAATCCTTTTTGCCTCAGTTTCTTTAACTGCTGGGTAAAAATCCAAACGGTGAAATTCCTTAGGCTGCTTTGAACCTTAAAGAAATCAAAGCATGACACACACTTGCATGGTGACAGGGACACAATGTGTGTCCACAGAGTGGATGGGAGGCCCCATGGATGAGATCCGAGGTACGCTACATAGAAGAAGCTGGGGTTTCACTGATCGGCAGAGGCACAGCTCCACTCTTGATTTTTCAAGTAGGTTTATGAGCCTGGTGCCACACACATGATGTGTGAAGTGGAAAGAACTGTGATACTGTTGATTTGAGTGGCAGCCACAGCCAAAGCACAAGATATTATCATGACTCCCCAAAGTTCCCCAAGGGGCCTTTATGTCCTGTCCACTGCTCCAGCTCTTGGTAATAGTTGTGTCCCTATAGATTTGCTTTTTCTAAAATGTCTTCTAAGTGGAATAGTGCGGTGGCCTCTTTCATTTAAGCAGATACATTATCTTTTGTGTCTATTCTGCATATATCCATCCCTGGTTCATTTTATTTATCCAATTGCATCCTGTGGTTGTACCACAGCCTGCTTTTCAGTCTACCAGCCGCTGGCCTTTCACACATGAGTTGATTAAGTTCACACATTCTTTTATCCTTAGCTCCCTATGAGGTAGCATTATGGTCATCTTTGATGAAGCCTCCAGAGCCTTCATGATTCTGTTTGCGACTTCTCAGGAAAGTTATGAACTGAAGCCTTCTGAGGGCACTGATGAAACTAACTGTCCTTTCACTTCTCAGGGACCATGAGAAGGGATGAGTCATCTCCGCGTCCAGGACCTGCCTTCCTCCCGGAGGACGACATCTACTTGGAAGCCCGGGCACATGGGATGCTGGGCTGGAGCAGCTCACTATCATCTCAGTCGTCCTCGGAGTACCAGTCTTATTCTCAGTACCAGTCTTGGACTTCCAGCAGGAGCGAGGAGCAGCAGGATGCCCCACCCGAGAGCGTGTGTGCCCTGTACACCCATGTGCAGACTGTGCGTGGTGTGGCAGTGGCTTGGGAGACAGATGAAGGCTTCGAGCCAGTCACCAGGAAGCCCCTCATCCGTGAGGCTGAGTTCATCAAGCGACAGCGGCGGAAAGGCTCCTCCTTCGAGATGGCCTCCAACACAGATCTGCGCTGGGAGCTGGAAGCCTGTAAGCACTATTGCCCGCAAACTGAGGACTCTGTGGACTGCTGCTTGCAGGAGCTGCGAGCACCACCAGACTGGCTGGTCACCACCAACCATGGCCTGCGCTGCGTGGCCTGCTGCAGAGTCTTCCCCACGCTGGAGGCGCTGCTGGACCACGCCCAGCATGGCATCCGCGATGGCTTCAGCTGCCAGATATTCTTCGAGGAGATGCTGGAAAGGAGACGGGCTCGTGATCGAAGGCAGGACCAACAGCCTATTGAGGAGGAACAGAGCCCTTCGGACAATAGTGAATGTTCCAAGCCCGGTGCCAAGATGCTGTCCCAGCAACAGCAGCCAGAGCAGCAGCTGCAGCAGCCTCAGCCACAGCAACAGCCACAACCACAACCACAACCACAACCACAGCAGCAGCAGCAGCAGCCGCCACAGCAGCAGCCGCCACAGCAGCAGCAGCCGCTGCAGCAGCAGCAGCAGCAGCAGCAAACACAGCATTCACAGCATCCACAGGGGAAGTAGAGATCGGAGGTGAGGTGCCCGCCCTCCCTCCAGCATCATGGGTTGCTGCTCTCTTTCCAGCCAGCAGGACCAGAGCCACCAGAGCACGGGGAGAGGACCAAGGTGGTGGGGGAAAAAAGCCATCCATGTGGCAAGGTGGGAGGGGTAGGAGCCTTTCCCCAAGGTGCAGCATTTCCACCAAGTCCATTTCCAAACCTGAATCCAAAGAAGAGGGCTTCAAGAGTTCCTGATGGTGTATGCAAAATAAGAAAGATGCAAGCATGTGGCCACAGGGATTTCCATTTTTGCTGAGGGATCAGCAGCAGTCCATACTTGCCATTCAAGCACACATGACTCATAGGAGAGCCAACTGCAAATGAAGCTTCGGCCCTATTTTTTTCATTGTTAGGAATCTGTCATATGCCCTAATTCTATGTCTTATGTTGTTGGGATTAAACCCGAATAAGACAAAGTGGTACGAAGTGTCTGAGTAAACCATGCTACCAGGATGGTCACATAAGTGGCTGTTTGTGTAGGTGACCAACTAACATGTGGGGAGGCATGCAGCTTTGCAGAAGATGGTGCTTGGGTCCTCTGATTGGTCAGTGTAAATTTATTTCAGATGTTGCCAGGAAATTGATCTGTACCCACCTCCTGACCAGTATAGGGGCTATAGTGCCAGCCAGGGCCACTGGGATAGGTATGTGGCTGGTGTGGCCCATGTAGGTTGAGTAATCATCAGAAGTGCCTGGAGTCCAAGCATTTCATACTCTTCCAGAAGTGGGACAACTTGCACAATCTTAATGAAATATCTTGGGGATGGAGCCCAAGCGTAAACACCTGTCTTGTCAACACCAGAAGGGAGACCATTTAGCATCTGTGCTGCCCCTGTTTTTCCCTGGCTCAGTCACATGAGGTTAGGTGTGAATCACATGAGGTCAAGTGTGAGTCACATGAGGTCAGGTGTGAAGTGTTCCACTGTGACATCATGTCGGTGCTCATAAAGTTCCAGGCTGGGGAGCAGTTCACAGTTTGAATTTCAGTTTCCAGGGTTAGGGATGCTTAACTTGTATGCAAACTCCATGATACCCATGACACATCAATTGCAAAGCAAAGGGTTAATCTCATCAAGAAGGACCAAGGACCCAAGACAAACTGATCAAAAGGTTCTTGTACATAGTATAAACCAGGCAGAATAGTATGCAGGAGGGTTTCACAAAGACAGCATTGCCGGCATCCAAACAGACCCAGGTAGTAACTATGCGGTAGAGATAAGATTGCCCCAGGTGAAGAAACCATGGGTGAGGTAAAGTGAGGGCCCTGGGAGAGAGAGGGAGTCAGTGCACGCAGAGCAGCGCCATCCACTTAACCCAGCCGCAAGGCTGGAGGTGTTCTCCATACTTTCAGTGAAGACCTACCACACCTACCACATGGCAGGCACTGACTGGACACAGGAACCAGAAGAGGATAAAAGGAATGAAAACAGGTGTAGGTGCTGCCTGGGGGATCATATGGCCCATGGGGGTGACCTGATTAAAAGTATTTCAAAAGTGCATTTCCCTGTCCCGCAGGGTCCTGCAGAGCCCCCTCCCCCCTTTCTGTCCCAGAACTATCTGCCTCCTTTGTTCTAGCCACACTGGCCTTTCTTAAAGTGTCTAAGATTGCAAACCTCTGAGCCTTGGTACGTGTACTCAAGTGGAATGTAGCTCCTTCCCTGTCCTCTGGCCGATATGTTGCTCTTCTCTGGAATTTTCTCAGTCATGCCCCCTTAGTTTATTCCTCGTTCTATGTGCTGATTTAAGAAGACAAGTGACAGGATCAGGCCCACGTGTTTAAAAGCACAATGTAGAGTATAAGAACTGGGACAGAAGCAAAATGAGAAGGTGAGGGGTTGGGCGGATTTGTAACCTAGTATTGGAGTTTAGGCCAAGAACGATGGTGATTTTGATGGGACAAGAGGAATGAGTTCATTCAGAACATATTTGGGGAATCAAGCATGAAGGACTTGGAGATGAAGGAAAGGAAAGGCCAAGGTGGGGTATCCAGTTGGTTAGCAGGGAGTGATGTTTGCTGACTGATATGGGAGACTTTGGTGGAAGATTGGAGTGTGTTTATGTGGACATATGTGAACACATGTGTGTGCATTTGGTGAGCATGAGCATGTGCCTTAAGTGATGGTGTCTGCGTGTGAGCATGGTGTCTATGTAGACACAGTTCTGGCATAGAGGTCAGTTGGGACAAGTGCATCATAATGCTAACGGCAAGTTCAAGTAGAGATGTTGACTGTGATGTGGTATTTGAGTTAGACACAGAACAGCAGACACGTCTGAGTTGGAACTGCAAATGAGGATGCTAAGAGAATTCCAGCAGTGGACAGACGGGACTCTAGGGAGCTGGTGTGGAGGTAGACTGTGTGCACTGGGAAATTGAACTGGGTAGGTGAGGCTAGGGAGATGGCTCAGCTGTTGAAAGCTAGGCTTACAACCAAAAGGTCAAGAAATGGGGAGCGGATGCTTCACAGGGCTTTCCTTCTGGCCAGCCGACTTAAGGAAATATGGTCTTCAGGAGTGGTAAGCAGTGCAGTAACCTGCTTCTGGGGGAGTGGAGTGATCCAAGGACAAAGCTGTTTTATTTCCCCTGGGTTTTATGAAGCAGGCTCAGTGACTGAGAAGGGCAGCAGTCAGATGGGCATTGGTCAGGTGTCAACAGAAGACAAATCTTTAGGGTAAAGCCTGAAACCATCCCGATGACAATAAGCGACGATGGACCAGAAGGAAACTGAGAACAGAAGCAAGTGGGGATGCTAATGAAAATAGCCCAGTGAGAGGGAAATCCAGGACCCAGGAAGGTGGGGGGGGGCGGGAGAAAAGAAAGGAAAAATTGACCCGGGAGTAGTCAGCGTTTGTATCCCATTGCACGTGGTGGTCAAGTGGGGCTTGGGAATATAAATCATGGAACCTGAATTCCCACCTCTTGGCAATATCAAGGAGCTCTTGAATGTTAAGCCAATCAGACTGCATTTGTGGAAGAAACTGGTGAAGGTGGTGGAGGATGGGGAGGAGCAGCATGGCTGGGGACAAGGGGTCCAGGAGGTCTGACAGTGGGGGAAATTCAGAGGATTCTAACTGTGGAGTCTGGCTGAGGGAGGTGACTTGGGATTTTCTCTGGGGAAGCGGTGGTGAATATTAGAGCTAAAGAATGCAGTGGGGGTTGAGAAAAGAGGAAATTGATTGGGATGCTGAATGGTAAGTTTAAGAAGCATCTAGAAGGGAGCTGGTTTGAAAGGTGCAGAATGAGGAAGAGTGGTACTTAAAAAATGGAGATGATTTGTGGTTACCTACACATGTATGGTTAACTGAGACCATGATGTGCCCCACGGGCCTCATGTAGGATGTATGCCCTTTGTTGATTCCAGAGAATCTGCCACGAGGACCTAATCCATTTTAAAAGGCTGTCTGAATGCACTTTGAAAGACGCTAGAGGATCTATATTGTCTGAGTCATAGAAAAGCTATTTGGCATAGGAGGGGACTCAGTCAGCTTAATGGGCGGTTAGAACCCAAGGACAATGTAAGGAAAGAGGAGACTGCTGAGCCAGAAAAACAGTAGTGAGAAGGGGAATATTTTTTTATATCAAATTTAGTAGGCAAAGAAACTGAGGTCAGACATAGTAATTCAAGTCTAGAGTTTCAACCTTTAAAAGACATGTCCACACATGCTTAACCCTGATATTCTAAAGACTTTGTGTTTAAATAGCCTCATTCATACTAAATCATGTTCATTCTCTACAATCCCACAAAAGGTAGCTCCCAGCCTTATCTGTTTTATGCTGGTGAGTGACCCAAGACTTCATCAAGGTCACATGGCTATGCATAACAGAGTAAGGCTTCTCCTCCAGCAGCCTGGCTCCAAACTGTACTATAGCCATGACACTGAGACCCCAGCTTGGATGGGGAGAAGGGTGAACGTGTCTAGGAAAGCATATATGCTCATCCTCACAGGCTGGGTTGGCTTTAGACTAAATAGCAGCAGGCAGATAATGGAAGAGATGAAGGAATGTAGGACAAATAAAAGATGGTGGTGACTTTGGACTGGGGAGAGGATAAATGATGCTCTGCACTGTGTGGCTCCTTCAGACCACTTTGCAGAGATCTGGGACCTCCACATAAGACCAGTATAGAGTGTGAAAAACTCTATAGCGTGAACATTGAAATGATAAATCACCTTAAACTCTTTATTTTCCCAAGCCATAGGGGGGAAATAGGACTCATTTCCCAAAACTTATATAGAGCCGATAACAAAGCCTGGCAAGGGTGGCATTAAAAATCAAATGATGTATTAATCTCATATACACACACGATCATCAAATTTAACCAAGTATAAAAGGTATATATAAAATTCACCTTGGCGGAGTTCAGGTTGTCTCTTGACTGAGGATAGTTAAAAATTATTACATCTGGCAATAATTTGTATTGAAAGAACAATCATGATTTTCTCAATAAATATGAAGTGGACATGATAGGCGACTCTCATGAGTCCACGCCCATTCTAGGACATGTGCTACTGTGTACGTGCATGTTTCCCTTTCTCATAATGCCTGTGCTTAAATCTATATTAAAACCGTTTCCTACTAAACTCCAGTCTTGCTGCAATATATATATATTGCAATATATATATATATATATATGATATGATAAATAATAAACAGGTAAAAACCCATGTATTTGTGATCAATTGCTTTTCTGATGCAGGCATCAAGCAAGACAATTCAATGGGGGAAAATTAATCTTTCCAACAATTGAAACCAGACACAACGGGTATCTGCAAGTAAGCAGTGGAACTGAGGGGCTAAAGAGACGGCTTCATGGTTATGTAGAGGGCCTAGTTTCAATTCTCAGCACTCATGGAGCAACTTATAAATACCTGTAACTCCAGAGACATAATGCTATCTTATGGCCTCCAAGGGCAGCTGAACACACTTAATACATATACTCAAGTGCATACACATAAAAACAAATAACACAAAAAACAAAAAAAAATAATGGAGTTTTATCTATTCTCTCTCTCTCTCTCTCTCTCTCTCTCTCTCTCTCTCTCTCTCTCTCTCTCTCACACACACACACACACACACACACAGAGGACCCATAGGTGCAAAATGAGACTTGTAAACTTGTCTACATGGAAACTTATATGTGAATATTCAGAGCAACATTACTCATAGTATAAAAATGTGAAAATATAACCTACATATCCACCCAATGGCGAACATATAAAACAAATGTAGTGTATGTCTACACAATGGGGTATGTGTAGTGCATATAAAACATGAACTGATCTACCATACACATGAATGAAACTTGAAAACCCTGTGCGAATGTGAAGCCAGACACAAAAGGCTACAGAAAGTGCAATCCAGCATATTTCAAGTATCCAAATAGGCGAATGCACAGAGACAGTAAGCATAGTAGTAATTGCTAAGCATTCAGCCAAGGGGAGACACATGAGCGATGCTAACCTGTACAGTGTTTCTAGGAGTGGTAAACACATTCTAGAGTTGGCGGCAATGGGTACAAAGCTTTGTAATTGTAATAAGGCGCTCAGTTGTATACTTGAAAATTGAATTTTATGGACTATGGATTGTATATTAACAAAAAGAGTTAGTAAACACAACCACCATTATGGGTGAGTAATGGACCTTAGTCCAGTGTAACTGATGGCCTTACAAGAAGAGGTAGGTGAAATCGTAAGGCTGTACAAGGAAAAGCCATGTGCGTTTAGGTCTGCTTTGACTCGGAAAAGGGAGTGTTGTTAGCTTTCCATTGCAATGACAAGTGTCTGGGATAATCCACTTACGAAAATAAAAGGTTTGCTTTATATCACAGTTTTGGAGGTTTCAGCTCATTGGTCCTGTTGCTTTGGGGCCTGTGGTGGGGCAGCTCACTTGTTTATCTGGTAGCTATGTAGGAAAAAGGGAAAAGAAGAGATTAGGTTCCACAACCCCGTTTAAGGATACATAGCCAACGTCTAAAGCCTCCCACAAAGTCTCTGTCTGTCTCTGTAGTATATTTGGTGTGTGTGCATGTTTGAGTATATGCATATGTGGGTGCATGTAGCTGTGGTGGTCAGAGTTTAACCTTACATGTCTTCCCTCAGGAGCTGCCCATCTTTGCTGGTATTTGAGAGGGGGCCTCTGACTGGGACCTGGAGCTTACAGATTCAAGGCCTCAGGCATCATTCTGTTTCTACCTTAAGTCTTAACACTTTTATGCCCAGCTTTGCACATTGATGCTGATAAACAGACTGGTTGTGGCACTAGACCAACTGAGCTGTTTTCCAGTCATATAGGCTTCACTTCCCAAAGGCTCAACCACCTTATAGTGCCAACCTCAGGGCCAGTCCTTTAACGCACGAGCCTTGCAGAATCGTGTGAGGTCTACACTATAGGAGAGGATGGCTATCTATAACCCAGGCAGAGGTCAAGACTCAGAAGAAACCAACATTGGGTGGTCAAATCCCGAAACACACCTTGCTTTCAGACTTCTGACCTGTGGGTCCATGAGACAATGTGTTTATGACCTTTTAAATATCCTGTCTGTGGATTTGTGACAGCCCATGTGATTGAATCTGAGAAGCAGAAGCCGAAGGATGGCAGTAACAGCCAGGGTTGAGTGAGGTTCCCTTCCTGGTTGATAATCCTTGGGACAATCACAAAGCAAGCGCTGTGCAGCCTTTGTGGGTATAGGCACTAGAGATAACAAGCTTCACGGAACAAGTGGATGAAGTTTGGTTCTGAGTGGCCTCAAGTCTAGAGCAAGTAGTGCGTGTAGTCACCTGTCAGAACCTGACTGTAAGAGGGCTTGGGTGTGATTGCATGGTGCCACTCTAAGCCTATCACTAGTGCTTCCTCTTTGGGAAACCTGATTAGGAGAAGGCACCTAGAGCACAGCTGATCACAGAAGACAGCATCAGATGGCAGGTGTGGCTAACAAATACCTGGGGGATTAAGGGAAGTAACTCTCTTTGCCCCTTACAACATAATAATAGAAGTCTTCTGCCATTTTATCCTCACTGTTGGTTGAATACATAAGATGATGTAAAAATAAACTAAGGGTGCATTCAGTATGGATTGAATCTGCCCTCCCAACAACTATTCTGTGTCTCTGTTTTGGATTCTTAACCCTCTTTTAGCTGGCCTTTCCATCACCCACACTTCCCCACTCAGGTACAAACCTGGGGTTGCTTGGCTGACTCCAATTGCAGGTCCCCCAAACAGCCCCCGACAGAAAGCATCTCTGAAATTCGGGGGAGAATTGTGTACTCAATGGTCCCTTAAAATAACTATGAAAATTTGCAGGATATCTCAGGTAACTAGGGTGCTCATACCCAACTATAAAACAAAAATGAGAATATATTTAATAGTCTGTAACTGTTTTGTGTGTATGTATGTGTGTGGTGTTTGTATGTTTTGCATGTGTGTAGCACACATGTATGAAAGTGCATATGCATGTGTGTATGGATGTGAGTGGAGACTCAAGGGTGACATCCAACATCCTCAATTACTCTCTGTTGTATACTGAGGCAGACCTTGTGCTGAACCTGGTTTATCTTTTCTCTCAGTCTGACTAGTTAGCTTTCTTCAGGGATTTCCTGTCTCTGCCTCCCTTGGACTGGGATTATAGGTGGGCCGCCACACGTTGCCGGCTTTTATGTGGGATCTATAAATCATACCCTTTGAGCCATCTTCCATGCGCGCGTGTAAGCATGTGTGTGTGTGTGTGTGTGTGTGTGTGTGTGTGTGTGTTAAGATGAGAACTACTATTGTCCAGGCTGTCTTTGAACTCCTAGACTCAAGCAATCCTCCTGCCTCAGCCTCTTGGGTAGCTGGGACTATAGGCATATACCACCACCACACTGGCCATAAACAAATGTTCATTTCTAAATTTTATTTCAAAATACAACAAAACTGGCAGAGGCAGCATAATAAAATCTTTATACTCTTCACGGGTGTGTCCTTTCCTCTCGGGGCCCTTCTCTCCACGTGTGTCTCTTTACAGGTATTTTAGAATACATGTTACAGATATATATTTGTAGTCATTTACTTATTAAGAGTAGTTTGTCAATATGCCTGTTAAGCCTAAACACCAAGTGCCAACATCAATCCATTGTCTTTCAGAACCACATCTAGGAAGTCAAGCTATGCAATTTGTTCTGTGTACAAATTTGTCCAACATTATCAATAATATATTTTCAGAAATTATTTTCTGATCCACCATCCACCGAGTCCTTTTAGCCACCTCTATTTTGTGCAACTCCTGTATTGTTTTGCTCGGCTCATGTTTCGTTTGTTGAAAGTACAAGGACTGGTCTGAGGTGTTTAGTGTTGTATCTGAGAACCGATGGTGTCAGTTATGTAGGTGGCCTGTCCCATTCCTAAGTGCTTTATTCTAATCCCCTCCCTCTAGAGCCTTTGACTCCAAGGCTCCCTTTTTTCTGCCTCCTGGAATCAACCGACCCAGACTGTTGTATGCAGTTAGCCTGCAGAGTCCTTGGCACTAGGGACACTTACCACTAAGGGCATTGTTGTAGTCTGAGTACAAAATGTCCCAGGCAGTGTTGAAGCCTAGGTCCTAGCTGGTGGGCCTATTTTGGCAGGTGATGGTAATGTCTTGGTCTCTGCATATGAATACATGGGCACTTGCGCGTGCACACACACACACACACACACACACACACACACACACACACACACAAAGAAAAGAAGAAATCATGTGGTTCAAAATATCCTGAAGATCAAACTCAAGGCCCTACACGTGCTCGGCAAGCATCCAAACACGGAGTGGCATCCCCACCCTTTCAGGGATGGGGGTAAGGAGGAGACAAGGTCTTGTTAAATTGCCCAGGCTGACAATCCTCCTGCCTCAGCTTTCCCTGTAGTTGGGATTGTAGTCGTGTGCCACTAGATCTGCTAGTCCTTACTTCTTGCCCTGGTGCCCACCCGACAAACTGTCTCCCTGTCTGGGCCTCGTGGCCTCCCACAGCTCTGTAATGGAGCTGTTCCCATGCTGGCTTTCTGGGTTATCAGTCCAGTCCCTGGGAAGCTTTTTTCCATGGGAACCCCAGGTGGCAGGTCCCAAGGGAATCGACAAGCCCACTAGCCTGACAAGCAAGAGTGGATGGTCCGCTCTGGAGTCATCCTGGGTTTGGTATCGGCTGGCAGGACGTCTGCTATTCTCCAGGTCGCCCTTCTTCCCGCTTCCAGGGTCCCACAAGGGCTACTGGCTGGCTGTTGCTCTTCTTTTCTGAAACCCCATAAAGGAGCCCCAAATAACTGTCGCAAAGTGATCGCTGATGTTCAGGCATTGGGTGACAAACTTAACCTATTTGGTACACACCACTAGGAGAGACCATTGCCCTGCAAGACACCAACAGGTGGAAAACACAGGTACATTCCTGCAAAGTTCCCTAATACCTGCAAGCCAGGCCCAGGGATAGGGAGCCCTAAACGGCTATACTTGCCTATAGTTTCCAAACTTTTCTGTGTGAACCCTTAAACTTTCCAAGGATCATCAGCCAGCTCCCAGCTCCTTCTCCAAGTTCAGGGCAGAAATAGACTTTCTCTAACTGCTATAAACCTCAGTGCCAGCGCCTGGGGAGCGAATGAGTGAGATTCAGGGCCAGGGTTTGTGGATGAACAGGGTCGGATCCATAGATGCACGGACGGACTCCTCTTAGGAATAATCATGTGGGGCCGTCGAGGAGACCGAAAGGCCTCAAGGAGATCACAATGCCCTCAGGTCTGTATGCCCTGAATCTTCCGGGTCACCTCAGTTTTCTTATCTGAGACATGGGCGTGGTGAAATGGGACACCGTGGGCTGGTTGAGCCAGTTGATGGAGAGGCCGTTCCCCCAACCCGGCGGCGCGGACCCAGGGACCCAGCAGCGCTGGCCTGGGCTGTGGCAGGAGGCCGAGGGGCGGGCCGGGCCGGTTCGGGCCGGGCGGGCGGAGGCGCTCTCCCGGGTCACAGCGCCGGGCAGGCGGCGGCGGCGGCGGCGGGAAGATGCGGCTGTGGCTCCTGGCGCTGGCGGTGGCCGTGCTGTGGTGTCCGGCCCCGGGTAAGCGCGGCGCGGCGGGAGGCTGCGCGGGAGGCCGAGGCTCGAGCGGGAGGGGAGGCCAGGGCTACGCGGGTTACTGGCGGCGCACTCCTCCTGGGTGATCGTGGCGGCGCAAGAGCGCCGACCCCGGTGTCCGCGGTTCCCTGGTCCTGACGCCGTCCGGCGGTGGGGACCCGGGTCCCTTCCGAGCCGCAGGCCGCGGAGCACAGGGAGAAGCCAGCCGGATCCGGAGCACTAAGTTGGCGGTTTCTTTCTGTCTTCCGTAGCAAGAGGGACCCGCAGCTGCTGCCAGCACCAACTTTCCTTTAACTATCTTTGGAGACGCTCCGAAATGAGGCCAGGAGTGATCGGATCGTGGGCACTGAGAACTTAACACTTGAGTATTCTGAGATAGTCAGACCTGTTTAGAGAGGATGTCATAGGCTTCACCCAGCGGGGTCCTCTGTCACAAACACTTTGGGTGCCACCTTTGCTGGCTTGCCTGGAGCTTTACAGTTCCCGCTTAGAGTCGCTGAAGAGCCTTCTCTTCGCTCCCTGGGACCGTGCTGGCTGGAATAATAGTCATAGATACATTAGTGGCTCCCATTTCCCAGGCGACTACTACCAGTGCCAGGGGCACGCCATCTCATTTAATCACAAAATAAGAACCTCGAGTATTTATTGATCCAAGTACTTCACAAAACGTTGGTGCAGCTTATCAGCCCATCAGCCTCTGAGGATTGTACTGTTTTGTCGCCAGTTTTTAAAAAATGAAGAACAGAGACATAGACCTGAAAAGCTGAATCCTTTAGATTCTATCCTGGATGTACCTAGGGCCACCCAGTAGCTTCTGCTTGTGTGGCCCTCACGCCGGGCCTGTCACCCACTCTTTTAAATGCCTCCTCCAAGATTCCTCACCTCCATTTGCAAGGGAAAGCCCAGCACATATGCTTAATGTGTAAACCCACACTCCTAGCCTGCAGAACCTTCCACCTCCATTTAGTGGGTAGAATGGGAGTTTATTGATCACTCAATCCTACCGTTCATCTCACAGTCCAAGTAGGTACTAAATCCAGGCCATGGTACCATTTGAAGTCAGCTCTCCCAGGTTTGAATTTCATCTAGGCTTTGTGCTGTGTGAGCTTGAGCAAACTGCTCAGCTTTGCTGGGCTTCAGTCTCGTCTGTAAAATGAGAATTGGCAACTGATGAAGATAAGTTGAGGAAATACTTCTGATTGCCTTAGAACTGTGTTTGGCCTGAAGCTCACTTGAGCAGAAGTGCATCTCTGCATTTTTAGGTGACGATTTTCACTCACAGTGAGTGCTGTGTGCGCTAGGTCTAGAGGTCCCTCTGCTTGGTGTGTCTCAGCAGCCCCTGATGCTGCAAACTCTCACTCAAGGCAGTGTACTTCTTCAGAGATCTGTCCTGCATCAGACAGCACTTTGCTGTCACTGAGGAGTTCCTGGCTCCTGGAAATGAGTGGAGCATTTCTTTAGGCAGAGGGGAAGGCAGGCCACACTTAGTGCCATACCCACCTTTCTGGTGTGCTCGGAGCTCTGGCTGCTTCTGCATGGGGGATGAAGCCCTTGCTCCCTGAACCTGAAGGCTGCTTCAAGAGAAGACACTGCCATCTGGAGCTCCATGGATTTGCTCGCAGAAGAGAGCTGTGTGCATCCCTTTCATGATGCACCAAAACACAAAGCAGTGGTTAAACTCTGAGTCTCATCCCCAGGAACCCGGGGTTCACGCAGAGGCACAAACTAGAGTGTAACTCGTAGGGGATTTTCTTAAAATATATTAAACTTTCAAACAATGTTCAGTAAAGGCTGAAGCCAGTGGGCACCCGTGTTCTTGCTGCTCTTATGTGCATGGAGCCTACCCTACTCCAGGGCAGTGTGGGGTCACTTTCTGTTGCTCTTTCCCCACAGTTCATGCATGCAGGCTTATAGCTCAGCACAGTGCTACACTTGCACTTAACTCTGAAAAGACTCTCTTTCCCATTCCTAACAGCAGCATGTTTCCAGCCAGGACACTGTAGGACACCAGCCAAGGCTCTCTACCCAGCATTTCTTTGCTCACTGTTTCTTCTCTGGCAACTGGAAAGGTCTGGGACCATCTGACTTCTAGGGCCCAGCCCTTGAGGGATGCCTGGGATTTTCTAGCATCAGAGCACATGCATGTTGGAGGAATGGAATCATGGCTACAGGAGTCTTGTCTTTCTGTTTGGATCAATGTCATCCATTGTCACCTTCCTCTTTTAAGAACTGGCTTTTGGTTGGGGTAAAGAGTCCCTGCCAGAGGACTATATGAACAGGAAGGGGCACCAGTCTAGGCCACAGTGGGACAAAGTTCACAAAGGGATAGCCATCTTTCCAGTTCCAGCCTGCACCTGGTTCTTCCTGCCTCGGGGACTCTGCATAGTGAGACCCTCTTCCTTGGAGGTCATTCTTGGCTGTTGAGTTTTTGCTTCATCAATTTCCAGATAGCCTTCAGCCCGTGGCCATATTCTTAGCTCTCTTTAACCCCGAGGCCAGATTCAGGCTTGTTGCACGATTTCCTAAAACACTGCATGCTTCCTCCATGGCCAGTGACATTGTAGTTGCATCTCCCTCCTTTGTCCTGTTGAAGCTCTGTGGCCCACTAGGCTATGAGCTCCATAAGGTCAATAGAGGCAATGGAGACAAGGGGGAGGTAGAAACCCTGAGCAAGGAGGTAGGTACAGTGTGGAGGGAGCCTACTTCTCACCTTAGTTCTCTGCAGTGTAAGCTCATAAGGCAAGCATTTACCTTCTGCTTCAGGCTAATGTGACAGGTTTTTAGGTCAGGGAGTGAGGGTCAGCCCTGCCTGGTGGCCACATTATCTCAGCTAGATAAAGGGTGACATCTGCCCTGTGCGGTCCCTCATGCTGAACCAGCATTTACTCAGTGTTCTTTTCCTGCCCACAGGTTCAAGCTCTGCTATTCAGTCTGTCTGGCCTGTATGCCCACCCACCCTGCCCCAGCCAGCCATGCCCCCTGTAAGCATTCAGGCATTATGCTGGCCTGCCCCTGTCACCTGGCAGAATACCCTCAGGCAGTACCCTGGTCAGTCCAGGGTTCCATGTTTGCATAGTCTGCACATAGGTGCAAAGGACCCCTTTAAAAGACAGACCCTGCCCACTTCTGTTCTCCTTCTGGTCTCTCCTCTTTCTGGCTGCTCTCTTTCCCAACAGGACTTTTCTTGTCTCTGTCTTTTCTTTTGTCTTCTCTCTGTGTCTCTTTAAACCTCTTGCCTTCCCCCTTCTCTCCCCTCTCTAATAAAACTTCTCACTTAAGCTCTGTCTTCCTGGCGTATTTGTCTCTCCACCTCGGTCACCCTCACCTGCCATGGAATCCAACGAGATCCCCCATGCAAGGTCTCCCACAAGCTTTATCCTAACACCTCCTATTGCTCTCTTCCCCCTTTATACCACAGGGGACACAATGAACATTGTGGGGCAGGAACAGTTCAAGCTTCTCTCTACAGTATTGAAAGAATAACTTATAAAAGTCTATGCTTGTCTGTGCTTATCCTTTCCTGGCTGGGCCAGTGCTCCAGCTGTCTGCACATAAGCTGAGCTTCCATATGTATATGCTTGGTTGGCATAAGGAACCTTCAGCTCAGCTCCAGCGCTGGAGGGTACTTGCTTGGGGCACCTGGCTTTGACAGGGGACCCCATTTCTGAGAGCCTGTGACTTTCAGCAAAGCTTTTCTGACAGAGCCTGAGGTGCTTAGCCATCTCAGGTTCAATATCTCCACACCTTTTTGTGTGTATGGAAGGATCAGGGCGGGTGGCAGGTGAAGAGTTAGGGTGAGCCTTCATCAACAGTTGCCTGCTACCACATCAAGTAGCTTTAACAATAAACATGTATTGACTAACAGGGGTGAAATCTGAGATGAAGGTGGGTGCGTGGGTGATCCCCAGGGCCTCTCTGTCTGCTTGCATGCAGTGGCGTCTTTTTCCTGTATGTACAGTCTCTGTATGTGTATCTTCTTATATGGCCACCAGTCAAATTGGTCCACATTGTCTCTGGGCACACCCTACGGATCTCATTTAACTTAGTCTTTACCTGCAGGAACACCACATTTGGGGGTACTAGGGGTTAGTACTTCAATGTGTGAATAGCCTGAGGTTCTTCACAATGCAGCCCACGGCAAATGCATTCGCACTCCCATGGGAGGTACGAGGTTGGACCATCTGGAAGAGAACACGAGGTGAAAGGAGGCAGAAAGGCATGGTAAGAAAAGAGGGTGCTGTCTGAGGAGGTTAGCACAGTCCCTCTGCTGCCATCTCAGCTCAGTCCCTTCATTTCCGGAAGCAGGGGATAGGGCCTTGAGCCTGAGCCACACAAGGACAGGAGGGGAAGGGTTACAAATTTGTCTCCAGGATGGAATCTGGCCTCCCATGGGGACTGGAACGCTTTGGCACGTTCTCTCTGTTTCAGTCACTATAAATAATCCCCTCCTTGTGTAGAGTTAACAGGGGGAGCCTGGAGCGTAGGGTTCAGCTGCTTTCATCCCACCCATGTTGTTCCCAGCCCCTCTGGCTCCAGTGGGTCAGCCCGGCCTTGGATTCTGTAAGCCAGCCGCTGCAGTTTGGTGCTCTCTCTCCTGTCCAGATCTCGGTGGCTAATGGAATGGGGTCAGCCAGGGGTCTCAGATGCCTCCTTATTCACCAGGGAACCCCCACAGCAGGCTAGCTGCACTCCAGATGAGCCTCTGCTGTCAGGAGGAAGTGCTGTCCACATGAGCCAGTTGCCAGCCAGGTGGGCGAGATACACAGGAGGCGTGGACCGCTGTGGTCTCACAACAAGGCGCTGGCCCTGGGGAAGGCGGGGAACAGCCCATAGGACACTCCCAGACAGACTTAACCTAATCAGTGCACAGTGCCCCTTGCCATGTAAAGTGACACTTGAGGTCCCTAAGCCCAAGGCAGGCCTTCTCGGATACCTGCTGATTTGTATTTCTCATGTATCTCCTGGCCTGGCTCAGTCCCTCATTGCTGGAGAGAACTGACTGGGGACCTCACACAGGTGCATGGCACTCAGTGGCCTTTCCCCTAACCAAAGGCTGTCATGGTGTCGGGTGGGTGCTGAATAATACCTCTCAATATATGTTGTCCCAACCCTCCTTGGGAACGTTACCTTGCTCAACAAAAGGGACTGATGGATATAACTGAGTTTAACTTCTTACATTACTCTGGAGGGTCCTGAGTTGAGCACCTGGCAAAAGCTAAAAGGGTGGTCCTCAGAACATAACTCTCCAAATGTTAAGTTATTAAAAACAATCAAGAGCGTGGCTGCTGTGGGTTGAATGTGGTTTATCCTCAGAAACTCGGGTGGGAATCGGATTCCCATTGTGAGATACTAAGAGATAGGGCTTTTAAGAAGTGGTTAGGACCCTGTCCTCATGAATGGATGGATCTGTTCATTCAATCAATGACTGTTATTGTGAGGATGGCTATTTTCTAAAAGCCTTTGGTTAGGCCACTTAAGTACCCTGTTGTGACCTGTGATAGCCTGTGCTAAGTTGGGGATCCTTCTAGCAAGAAGGCCACCTTCTGTCCAGTCTATGGTAAGGTCTCTCAAGCACTTATGCCTTGACAAGTGATTTCCTGTGCTACCCTGGGACCCTGCAGAAAGCTGTGGTTTAGAAGGGTTCTAAGGATACCTGCATGTGAGAAGGCCCTCCCATGAGCTTCAGGGTGCCATGGCTGTGTTGTATCACCCATGATGCAGCACAGGAAGTGGTTCATGAAAAAGGCAACAGTGTAGATAGTCTGGATGCCCTGGTGGCTATTGAGGTGCACCCCTGAAGGTCAGTCAGCTCGGGAGTAGAACTGAACTTCGTGTGGGCTACCCCTGGGTTGGTTTGAACTAAGAAACCAAAGGGCAGGTTGTAGTGGATAGGACCTGGAGCTCTGAAGCATCTTCTGGGGTGTTGGGAGAGCCCCATATCCCTCTGGTTCCAGAGACTCCTTCACTTTTTATTTTACTTTGTGGGCTTCAATTCTGGGTTCATAGATCCCGAGTCCAAAGAAAACACTGAGAATCCCGTGTCATTCCAGCTGACTAGCACTGGTGTAGCCCTCTGCTTGACCATGATTGCCTAGAGATGGACTCACTGAGACTAAGGAAGTGACTAGGGAGAGTCAGATTCAGTCTCCTGGTTGGTTGACAAGCCATCACAGGTTGAATTTCTAGCCTGAATTAAATAGCTGTGACCCAAGCCCTGCCGTCGTGGATTAAAACACTCTTTTGGGAGGGGGGTTACTGGAGAAGAGGGGGTATGAGCTGAGCTTTCAAGAGATTCTCCAAGTCAGATGTTAGTGGCAGATTAAAATGTTTTTGATACCAATGCCTGTTTGGATGGCCAGTGTTTGACCCATCATGTGACTGAGACCATCACAGATAAGAATTTGGGTACCCGTGAGGCCCTTTGGTCAGAGTGACAATGGGGAGTGAGTGTAGAGAGCATGGAGGCCATTGCTTCTCTGGCCTTACAGAGTATCTAGATGCTAGTGGCATGCAGGGTATCCCTGCCTCCTGGCAATGGCCTGGCTGCTACCTTCATTCATCTTTCCTCCCTTTACTCTTTTCATTTGCAGAAGTATGTGGTGCTCTCAATGTCACTGTGTCCCCAGGACCTGTGGTTGACTACTTGGAAGGGGAAAATGCCACTCTCCTCTGCCACGTCTCCCAGAAGAGGCGGAAGGACAGCTTGCTGGCTGTGCGCTGGTTCTTTGCCCCTGATGGTTCCCAGGAGGCCTTGATGGTGAAGATGACCAAGCTTCGGGTGATTCAGTACTATGGGAACTTCAGCCGTATTGCCAATCAACAGAGGCTGCGCCTGCGCGAGGAGCGTCGGGGAGTACTATACAGGCTGTCTGTCCTCACACTCCGGCCAGCAGATCAAGGGCAGTATGTCTGCAAAGTACAAGAAATCAGTAAGCACAGGAACAAATGGACAGCCTGGTCCAATGGCTCCTCGGCGACAGAAATGAGAGGTAAGAGTGTGACTGAGGTGGGTGTGTGGTAGGTCAGGGGTCCCTGCTTTCACCAGTCTGTAAATGCTGGTTGGCTCACTGGCTCTGCTGGTTTAGTACAAGTCTTGTGGCCCCTTAGGCCACAGGCCTGTGAGTCAAGTCATGAAGGTGGGGACTGTTCTTGGACACTGTGGCTGATGTGTAGTGTAGACGTGAAAGCAAGGACAGAGGAGTGAGCGGCCACCTCCATGCTCGTCATGTCTTGCCTGAAATACTGGATTGCCTGTGCTGTCAGATAAAGAAAACTGGACCCCACTTACAGTGGTCAGACATCTGTTAGACTTTGATCCGAACTGCACTTATTTTGGACATATACTGAGATTTTGTGGTTCTGAGAAAGAACAAGGGGATGGGAGGAGGTGACTATATGGGACACTGAATCAGGCAAGTATACAAGTTACAGAGAGCAATGGTCTCTGTTGCTTTTCTGGGTGCAGTGACCAAACACCAGACAGAAATCATTAAGGGGGGGGATTATGGTTAATTGTTTTAGTGTTCAGGATGCAGCCACTTGGTCCTATGCATCGGGCCCAATTGTCATGCAATGGGAGGATGGGGCGGTGGAGGGCCGCTGCTCATATCACAGCCAGCACAAAGCCAAAGGACATGGTAGGGTAAGGCTAGCATGGTAGACCTCCAGGCACCCACCTCCAGGGTCCCACTCTCTTCAGCTAGGTCCTACTGCCCACAGTGACTACTAACTCCTCAGTTAGCACAGGCAGCAGCTTTCCAGACATATCTCACTCAAAGGGTAATGATATTGAAAAGCAAGCAGGGTCTGTGGTCCACGTGGAAGTGTCTAAGTATGTAAGAAGCTCCCAGAAGCAGGATCCTTCCTTCCCACAAAGGCTGGAAGATGAAGTATTTTCAGATATGATCAGACAAAGACGATTTTTTTCAGGTGGGCACTACATGGAGAGTGCATCAACACAGGCATGTGGCCTTGAACTCTAAGTAACACTGCTGTTTGACGGCTCCTAAGCCAAGGCTGAGCCTAGCTGAGAAAAGTCCCAAGGAACTAGACTAGACGTTAGTTAGGAAAAAAAGTCTTTTTCAATTCCCAGCCCATTTTTAGGGCTATGTCACCTTAACTAGGGGTGCCTGGTACAGAGGGCCTGATACACACTTCTCACCCTGTAAATGGACAGTCACGTGTTCCTGATTTGCTGCCAGGCTTGTGTCCCAGCTAACTGTGAAGTCTGAAAGTCAGGAAGGGTGAAGGCCCCAGGGTGGCTCTCACTTTCTGCAGGCAGATAGGAGGTGAGTTCCCATTTTCTAAATATCTTGGCTACCAAACACTGTCATTTTTTTTTATCTCCAGTGTTCAATGGTCTAATCACGAAGACACCTCTGGCAATTTTAATGCTGTTCTATTGTGCATTCAGATCATGTCTTTGATAGCATCAAACTCCGATTTACTTGCACACAGGATCAAGAGATTCACAGAGAAGAGCTGATTATTTGAAATATGAGACAGAGGATAATTTTATTACACATAATATATAATATTAAAGCCTTTAAGCCACATTATTTTGGTAAGCCTTTTAAAAGGTGACTTTTTTTTTCTCTGTCTGTGATAGGTATTTTTACAGTCCTGTGTAATAAGGGACATGTTAAAGGGAAATAATCCACGTGGGGAGCCTTTGAAGCAGCCACTTGTCCCCTGGGGCTGGTGTTAAGGTTTGTGGTATGATGTATTTGCAAAAATACTGTGCACTTTCCCCACTTAAGCAAATTAATTCAAGAAAACAAATGACTGCTAATATAAACATGTATTTTGGCAAAGAAAAAAAATTACAGTGACTGAGGATGCAAACCACAAAGATGATCTCTTGGCTCTACAGTATGAGATCCTTTGTTTAAGAGTGTGTGCACGAATCTGTACATGTGTGTGTGTGCATGCCTGTGTACTTGTGCATGTGTGTGCAATATATATGTCTAAGTCCCGTATATCCTGGATCATGTACTAAATCTACCAGCAGTGACAACTGCTACTGATGAGCATATGTAAAAAGGTCTACTGCCTTTAAGTAAGCAATCAACCAGTTTACTAGTTTATGTGAATCTGCTTTAAGTGAATGAAGCTGGGTTCCTTCCAGAACATTTATTTGAAAACTTGTTTCAAAAACTTGAGGTAGCTTGCAAGGCTTCACCTGAAAGATATAAGGATTTCCGGATTTCCCCTCCATCTTCACACTCTCCTTCTTCTTCCTCCCATCTCTGTTCATCCTACTTCTCTTCCTCATCTCCCTGTCCCTTTGTTCATTTACACACACACACACACACACACACACACACACACACACACACACACTATTCCATTGTGTGTCGCTGCCACCTTTTCATTATTTGTCAGTTTATGGACATGTAGGTTGTTTCTACTCACTAGCTATTGTGGATGGAGCAGCAACATCTATGAAGATGTTGAACAAGTATCTTTCTCGTGGGACATAAAAACCTTTAGGTGTATGCCCAGGAGTGGTAGAGCTAGGTCATATGGTAGATCCATTTCTAGTTGCTTGAGAAACCTGCATACTGATTTCCAAAGTGGCTTCACTGCTTTGCGCATCCCCCCAACACCCTGTAAGCATCTGCCTTTCCCCTACCCATGGGAGTATTTGCCATCATTTGTGCTCCTGGGGGCCATTCTGATTGGATACAACAGAGTCTTTGATGTGGTTTTAATCTGTGTTTTCTTGATGGCTAAGGATCTTGAGCAGGTAAAAGTGTTTACTAACCACTGTGTTTCCACTGTGAGAACTTTCTGTTAAGTTCCACAACCTATTTTTCAGCTGTATTGTTTCATGATGTTTAGTTCTTTGAGTTCCTTGTATAATCCAGACACGAACCCTCTTTATAGCTGAAAAGATTTTCTGCCATTCTGCTGGCTGTCTGTTAGCATACTTTGTCATCAGAACCACCAGCCTGGAACTAATGACACGGAGACCAGTGACTTATTGTTAACTATGAATGCTTGGCCTTAGCTAGTTCTTGTGACTTAAATTAGCCCATATTTTACAATCTGTGTTCTGGCATATGGTTCATCACCTCATCTCCATACTGCCCACCCTACTTCTTCCACACCTGGCTGGTAACTCTCAGCATGCATAGAACCCTTCTCACTTTCACTTCCCAGAATTCCCACTTATTCTCTCCTGCCTGGCTATTGGCCCTTCAGCTTTTTATTATACCAATCGTAGCAACACATCTTCACACAGTGTACAAATATTCTTCTACATGGTTGACTGTTTATTTTGCTGGGTAGAATCCCTTTAGTTTCCTGAGCTCCTGTTTATCTCGTATTGGTCTTAATTCCTGCACGACCAGAGTCCTATTCACAAAGTCCTTGTCTATGCATTTTTCCTACTTTTTTTCTCTAATGGGTTGGGGTAAAAAGTCTTATATTGTGGTCCTTTATCCATTGTAAGTTTGGTACAGGGTGAGTGGTAAGGATGCGGTTTTATATTTTTCTATGTTGAAGACCTGGTTTCTCAGAACTATTTGTTGAAGTTTCTGTCTTTTCCCAGAGTATTTTTTGTTGTCTTATCAGACAGCTATAGTTATGTAGAGAGTTTTTGGCTCCTCTATCCTATTCCAATGATCTATGTGTCTGTTTTGTGCCAGTATCATGCTATTTTCATTGCTATGGCTCTGTAGGGTAGCTTGAAATCAGGCATGGTGACACCTCCTTTTGTTCACTGTTGCTTTGGCTTGGTCTTTTGTGTTTCCACATACATTTTGAGATTTCCTTTATTTTTTTTTATGTCTGTGAAGAAAGGACCTGGTATTTTGATTGGGATTGCATTAAATTTAATCTATGGATTACTTTTGATAGTGTTTGAGTTCCTGTTCTATTGCCATGGAGAGACACTGTGAACAAGGCAACACTTATAAAAGAAAGCATTTCACCAAAGGCTTGCTTGCAGTTTCAGAGGGTTAGTCCGTGGTCATCATGGCAGGAGCAGACAGACATGGCTCCGGAGTCATGAGAGTTTTACAGCCTGATATGCACATATAGTAGGCAGAGAGAGACACTGGGTCTGGCATGCACAGGCTTTTGAAACCTCAAAACCCTCTCACAGTGACATAACTCCTCCAACAAGACCACATATCCTAATCTTCCCCAAGGAGCTCCACTAAGTGGTACTAAGCATTCACATAGATGAGCCTATGGGGGCCATTCTCATTCAACCAGCACAAGTAGGATGGCCATTTTAGTAGTATTGATTCCACTGGTCCATGAACTGGGCAGTCTATCTATCTGCTAGTGTCTCCCTTGACTTCATCAGCGCATTGAGGTTTTCATTGTAAAGGTCCTTTGTTTCCTTAGTGATATTTTTTCCCTGGTATTTTATTTTAATTTTTATGACTATTATGAATTGAGATGTTTTGTTTTCCAGACTTCATACATAAATACATATGAAAGCTACTGATGTTTGCGTGTTAATTTTGCATCCTGTTACTTTGCTAAAAGTACTTATCAGACTTTCTTGGTAGAATATTTAAGGTCTCCTATGTATAGAATCATGTCATATGCAGATAGGAATACTTTGGCTTCCTCTCTTCCTATTTGTATAACTTTTATTTCTTTTCTTGTCTTATTACTCTAGCTAAGACTTCAAGCACTATACTAAAACATACAAATACTTCACATTTTATGGTGATTTGTGTGTCTAACTTGCTATCCTTTTCCATTGTGATATTCCTTTTTCAGAAGTTGTTTTTACTCGGATGTAATTTATACTTGATTAATTATACTGAGTATCTTTTGGTGTCTACTCTTGGAAAGTATTTCCATTATTATAAATGTATTTATAATTTTCTCTCACACTTTTAATCTTAAAAACTTATTTTTATCTCTTTGAAATCCATTTTTATACAAAACTAACTTACTTTTGTTTCCAGCTATTCCAATTATTAGAGAATAAGACAATTCCCCATTGTCAATACTTCAGATTCTC